ACTCCGTGATTTCAACTCAATACCATTCACCTGAAAACACTATCATGTTATCCACTTAGCTATTAAGTTCAGAGAGTCACTAACTTGTGTAATAGGATGAACACCGATGAGTGAATTTATCATACAATTGAGTTGCTTAATTGATACATCTATTTGGTCGGATCATTTGTATATGTATAAATATCTAAGATCATCATCTAGTAGCTTTGAGCAATCAATAACTGATACAAATATGTGCAATAATCTTTATAAATTTACACAACTCGTAGTTTAAATAAATGTCTATAAATTACTTTACTTACTTACATACGCCTGTTACTCTCAATCGAGAATAGGCCACCTACTAGCATTCTCCATTCCACTCACTCTGTCCTGAACCTTCCTTTCTAGTTCTATCCAATTGTTGTTCATTTTTCTCATATCTGTCTCCATATCTCGGTGTAATGTGTTCTTCTTTGATCTTCTTTGTCCCCTTTGGCCTTGAAGAATCCAAGTGATGAGAGCTTTTCTTGTGACACAGTTCAATGTTTTCCTCAAATTATGTGTTTTATCCACATTCAACGCTTCTTCCTGATTTTGTTCCTCCTCTGAAATCTACTTTGTTCTCTCCCACAGTATATAATTTGATTTTTTTCCCAATACCTACATGAAATACATTGAATAATAATAATAACTGTGTTTTTTTTTAAACTACGAACAATTTAAATGGCTCCCGTCCCCCCCTCCCCTCACCAGGTGGGTGAACAATTTACATTGGTGCCATGGAGACTATAATAAGTTATATAAATCTTTTAATCAATTAATTTAATGTTTAAAATATGTTAATTTTATAACCAGATCATACACAGTATACAGTATGTTAAAAGTCTTCATTCATCTAGTCGACCATCAGAAGAATTGATTATTAAGATATAAATCTATTGGCGTGACAAAGTTTTCCGATAACTTTATTATGACAAGAAATAAGTGTAGTGTATGCTACTTATATGGATAGATATAAGTAGTATAATGACAGAATCAAAGGAATAATGAAGTATATATAAAGGATAATCGATACTAAGAAGATGTGTAAATGATGTATATAATGTACAATTGTTTATATTTTCTTAAGTAACTATGTGATTTTGCTGAGTGATACGGGATCGAGTTCGTTAGGGAGCGTCAGCTCCTTCAAGATTACAGGTACACCTTACTGGCAAGTGCCAAGTAGCACGAAACCTATGTAAAGGGTTTCCTGTTGACTAACTTCAATCAAAGTCTTATCTCAACATAGTGAAAGCAACGTCGAGTCACCTAGACCAAAAGTCATATTGCAACTTCTTTGATAGTATTCGATTCGTACTAAGAACGACCTGACACATAAGACATTGATCACCACCCAGTGATCAATCGATTGTGTATATGATTTTGCGCTAATCGTCATTTATAAGTAATAAAAATCTTAGTGCCCATGACCTTCGATCTCGTAAGTGACCGATTAACCTCTGGACCATTAAACAGGCATCCAACAGTGTTAATGCCTAAATTCAATCGGTCCATGATCTTGTGCAACCTTTCATGCGTTGACAAGCTCAAAGATGAATTTCTTGGAGTTCTCATGAAAAGCCGTGATCAGTGGTGTCCACTTTGTGTTGGGTGCGAGACAGGTATTCACATCAGATGAAGGATGAAAGGTTGCGCAAGATCGATGATCGATGGGAGTTAGATATTGACACCTTTGGATACCAGTGGTTTAGAGCTGAAGCGTTTGTACGAGACCGAATGTTCTGGATTTGAGTCCGTTTGTTGCGGGATGGGAAGTGCTAAAGAATTTCATGCTAGGACAAAACTGTCATCCAGTGCTTTCAGGTTTTTCATGTAGGTTTAGTTTTAATTGACTCATGAATTTCATTATTTCTACGATCTGAACGAATTGTGTTCAATTAATTTATAATCCTCTTGATTAGATATTCCTCTTCATTTATTTTCATTATAGTACTGAAACACATCGTTATGATTAGCAGAACATTGGACATTGTTCTTAATCATATTAAGTTTATTCAGGCTTGTTTTCAATGGAAGAGATGTATATTATCCTCAGTTAACTAGCGTTTGTCAAGTCCTTTAGTATGAATGGAATATTTTCACATTGGGGTATGGTATTCTGAAGGACCACTTAGGAACAATGATTTTATTTATTTATTTATTTGAACGCAAATATTGATACAAAGAGGCACCGAATATATATGCGCCATACAAGTCACTTGATTTATGTGTGGGCTGTGATACTGTCTCGGTGCCCAGACTGAAACAGGTGGTATCCTTAGGGGGGTCACACCCGGAGCCTTCAACTTAATCTAATCTACAAGACAATGGAGCAACGTAAAGAGATGCAGTTTCTCGGTGAACAATAATTTGTTCATGCTCCATTTGTTCCTTCAAGATCCTGGAGCCCATGTGCACCATTGATTTGGAAATAGGGCCTTCCAACTTCCCTAGGTGGATCTTCAGCGTCCATCAACCTAGTTAAAGTGCCGTACATTCGCTTTTCGTCCTTTCACTTTCGTAAACAACAATGATGCCGCAAGAAGGCAGTAACTAGGACAACCCTGACAGTTGTTGTATACGCGTGGCCACGTAAAAGCATTTGGAGATGAATAACTAACTCTCCCCACCCTCGACCGTACCAGAGCATTCGAGGACTAGGAGTTGTTTGAATAGTGGCTTCCAACTATTTGGAATAAAAATATGAAACTAATGAAGGTTTTAATAAACTTGAGTATATTTCAGTACTTATTGTGTTTTTTTTTCGATGTCCTCATTCACTACTGTTATCATGATTAGTCAACGTTTCACATCAGAACTTTACTGAATTAAACTCAAATTACATTTTCAATGGTTTTTTTAAGGAATCTTTTATTATTCAATTGATTCATAATGATAAATTAACATCAAAAGTAACATCAAACTATTCATTCGTAAGCTACTAGTATTTAACCACAGATGCCTTAGAAATATTGCTCGCATCTGCTGGGATCATCAAGTAAGTAATAATGAGGTTAGACGCAGGGTGTTAGAGAATGATGGTGAATCAGTTGATGAAGTTGTAAATCTTCATCGACTGAGATGATTGGGTCACGTGTTACGTATGCCTGAACACCGATTACGACGACGCGCAATGTTGACTAGTGTTGGTGATTGTTGGAAGAAAGTTAGGGGTGGCCAAACCGAAAAGTGGCATCAGTCATTGAAGTCAATAACTTCTGGTTTGAGCCATGCTGGTAGATGCAGAATACTTGGTTGGGGTCGGCATGACTGTAGTAACGAATAGTCGGAGACCGTGTGGCATGGCTCAGAATCGATCATAATGTCGTCGGTGTATACACTCTTTGTCTTCCTTTAAACTATGAGATTAAATTAGCTCCATATCTTTCTTTCTATCAACTAGTTCTTTCTTCCTGCACTCTGTCCTTATATGTATTCTTCTTTGTTTGATATTTTACTATCATTGAATTAACTACTTCTATGAATCCGGTGTCCACCTTTTTGTGCAAATGAGGTATGGTCACTTGGACCGATGCACATATGTGCCTGGTTCTACATTGTAGCTGACTGACTGACTTACTTACTGTTAAAATTGATAGTTGATGTTCAACTACTCCATAGATATTATAGTTCATAAGCTGAGGTTAGATTCCCCAGCATCAATCTATGAGGGTTAGCAGTCTATAATAGAATTCTGAGTACACGAAGTTAAATCGTCCTCTTTTCTGTTTCTCTTCATGATTCCAAGTTAGCGATTAACTTGTGATGCAGTCCGATGATTTCCGTAATGTATGTTCTATCCACTTCCAACGTATTTTCCTAATTTCCTTTTCATCTGGAAGCTGGTTCATTTTATCTCACAGGTGTCCGTTGCTGATACTATCCAGTCAATGGATATTGAGTATCTTGTGCAGACAATCCTTCATAAATACTTCTACATTTTTGATGATGTTTGTGGTAGTTCTCCAAGTTTCAACTCCGTACAGAACAACAGTGTTGACGTTCGTATTGAAGATTGTTAATTTACTATTAGTTGATAGTTGTTTCGAGCACCATATGTTCTTCAACTGTAGGAATACTGTGCTTGCTTTGCCAATTCTCACCTTCACGTCTGCATCGAGTCCACTTTGTTCATTGATGATACTCCCAGGTACGGGGACGATTCCACATATTCAAGTGATTCTCCATCAAGTGTGATTGGGTTGACGTTCATTGTGTTGTATTTGATGATTTTGGTTTTGTCCTTGTGTTTGTTTAGGTCCACTGCTACAGACGCTGCTGTTACATTAGTCGCCGTCATCTGCATTTGTTCATGTGTATGTGATAGAATAGCTAGGTGATCTGTCAAATGCAAACCATCTAGTTGATGCATGCTCTCCTTTGTATTTCGTGCTCTCACTCAGATGTCGAGGTCTTCATAATACAATTGACTACCAGAAGAAAAATGAATGGAGAGAGTAGACAGCCATGTCTAATTGATTTTAAGCTGTTCATTGTATTCCTTGCTTCTACTCAGATCATTAATCAGTATTAGGACGAATGAATGATCTCTCATACCAAATAAATCACTAACTCATGAAACATTAATTACCTGATATTATGGTATATGCTACTTATATCTGTTGCCAGACGTAAGTAGTATGTAGCAATTATCACAAGTGGGTAGTCTATCAAAAGAAAGTTGAGAAGATTGGACTGAATAGAACAGAAAGGGAAATATAAAGAAATTCAGAATTGGAAGAATCATGAAAGATGTAAAAGACAAACGATAGATGATGTACAAATGAGGTATTTCATATATGGTTTTTATAATTTATTGAAGATACTCTGTAATTCTGGTTATCCCCATCTGAAGGTTCGTTCATTACAATAGAACCTCATAAAGTACTGATGAACAGTATTTCAAAGTCAGTATATACAATTCGCCGATTCATCCCATTAAAATGTCTTCTCTATTTGTATCTTATTCTCAATAGGTTGTTGGATTGTAACAGGTGGTTTTCATTTAGGAGTAATGAAGTTAACTGGTGAAGCTGTACGTGATTATACAGATGCATATGGTGGAAATCGAATGATGGCATTTGGTGTAGCAAGTTGGGATTGTGTAACAAAAAATGAAATACTTGAAGCAGCTTTACATGAGGTAAATTAATTCAGTGAATGTTCTTTCAGTTCTCATTGTATTTTCATGATTATTTATCACTGTATACATTTCTTCTGGATCATGATAGACGTTAGCTATCTAACGATAGGACATTTAGAACAGACTCCAGTATGAGCATTGTTATTGTTCATTTATCACAGTAATCTGCGTGAGTCAACATGAAGATGAGTGTATAATGTCAGTGACTATCAATATCAACCATGTTAAGAGGTAAGAACTTACTAATAGAGGTCTATCTCAGGATTCTTATCAGTCGTTATTGTTCTTAAATGGCATGACTGTGTATTGGTTACACAAGGTTTACGTGTATTCATCAGATGGTTTGACTAACTTCGCTATAAATCTTAATAATATTTTATCTATATCATTCTACAATCTCTTTGAACTATATTCACTGTTTTGTTAGTGTCATGGAAGGTAATATGATTCTTATTTTCAGAGTTTCATCTCTGTGTATTGAAACAAATCATGAGAATATAAATCAAAGTATATTTGTGTCACAGATCCTTTGTTGTTCATATCTGGATAGCCCTCAAATGCCCTGGTATAGCCAAGAGTGTTGAGTCAGCTCTCCCTCACGAGATGCTCTCACATGGCCACGTGCATACAACCACTATTTGGGAAGTTCTACTGACTGCCTTCTCGCGACATGATTGTTGTTTACGAAAACTGAGAGAACAGAAAGCGGATGTCCAGCACTTTAACCGGGTTGGTGGATATGGAGAATCCACCAAAGGAAGATGGAAAACCTTGATTCCAAATCAACGGTGCACATGAGCTCCAGTATCCTGAGATAACATATGATGTATGAATCAATCGTTTGTCACCGGAAACCATGGGACTCCATCTCCTTACGTTGCTCCACTGTCTTGTGGATTAGACTGTAGACTGTGGATTAGGTTAAAGGCTCCGGGTGTGGCTCCCTAAGGATACCACCTGTTTCAGTCTGGTCATCAAAACAGTACCCCAGCCATCACACAAATTGAATGATTTATGTGGCGCATATCTATTCAGCGTCTTCTTTTACTTAAGTTTGTGTGTTTAAATAAATTCTTCATTGATCCTGATGAAAAATATTGAAATATTGTAGTGATACTGAACAATCGCCTTGTTAATTATTTACTCAGTATTCATGAATTATGATTACACTACATGCTTAGACGTTGAAGGAATTGAAGATAGTCCATCTTGTAGTTGTCGGTTACTATGTTAAGCCCAAGTAGCATATTCTGGCCTCCGTACAAGTCAAGTTATTCATTCTTCTTAAATCACATTTTGACATTGTTAATTATTCGCCTATCAACCTTGACTGTCTTTATATGAGCGTATATGTATACAATGATTTCCCTACTCATTACATGTCTGTAACGTAATTTTGTTCGGCTATAAATATCGACTAACACTCGATTAAATGGAGTTGGGTTACAAGTCTTCTCCATTGTGCGTCATTACGCTTCGCTCTTTTCTATTCGGTTCATTCGCTTCATCGCTCTGATTATCTGTTCAGATCAATGAGTGTACAAAATATACGTATTCAAAACTTCATTGTTGTATTTGACTGATTTCAATTCCGCTATTCACTAGCGCGGATTAAGTTGATAATTATATACAGAGATTGGCAACATGTCTAAGCAGCATCATTGATTAACACGGTGGATCTCATGTAGATGGAAAGGAGCGGGTCGGCAAAGCAAGAGCAGCATATTTATAACTGAAGAACATCTGGAACTAAAAACAGCTATCAACTAACGCTAAAGTCAGAATTTTTAATACTAATATCAAGACAGTTCTACTGTAAGGGGCGGAAACTTAGAGAACTACTAAAGCCATCATCCAGACGATACAAGTGTTTATTAACAGTTGTCTAGGCAAAATACTTCGGATCCGTTGGCCAGATACTCTCAGCAGCAACCTACTGTGGGAGAGAGCAAACCAGATTTCAGAGTAGGAAGAAATCAGAAAGAAGCACTGGAAATGGATGGGACACATATTAAGGAAAGCACCCACCTGTGTCACAAGGCAATCTCTCACTTGGAATACTCAAGTTCACAGAAGTGGAAGATCAAAGAAGAACACATTACGCCGACAAATGCAGATAGATATGAGAATAATGAACAATTGATGGGTAGATCTATGAGGGAAGGCCAAGGACAAAGTGAGTTGGTTGGAGAATGCTAGTCGGCAGCCTATGCTCCATTGGGGGTAACAGGCGTAAGTAAGTTAGTAACAGCCAGCATGAATATTCCCGTAACAATCATTGTCAGTTACATGTAACTAGTTCACCAGTCCACATCTGAATAATGTTCTTTGTTTGCAGTGCATATTGAATGCTGGCCACCACGATGTCTTTGATGACGACTGTACTTTATTGTAAGTTGTACAGTAAAAAGTGATGAATATTTGATAAACACACATGAATAAAATAGACGATTAATAGACATAATGATGTGTTTAAACAAACAAACATAAAGAGATAACTTGTTAATATATCTAAATCAGAATGGGTTTTGTGGAGATTTTTTAGAAATTTCACTAGTTGAAATCATGAGTCAATTGAAGGTAGACCATCATGGAAAACCTGGAAGCACTAGACGGACTTTTCGTCCTAATATGGGACTCCTCAGCAGTGCACATCCATGATCTAAATGATAGGAATCGATAACCCAGATATTCAAGTAGGCCACCAACCTAAAGTTGATAATGATGATATTATCGCTCAAAAGGATGATGAAAGCTCCATGATCAAACCATTGAGTTCAGTGATCAAAACTCTATCATAACTAAATAAATTAATCAATAATTATCACAAGGGGGTTTGTGGACATTTTTAAGAAATTTCAATAGTTGAAATCACGAGTCAATTGAAGCTAGATTACCATGGAAAACCTGGAAGCATTGAACGGCCGTTTCGTCCTAGTACGGGACTCCTCAGCAATGCGCAACCACTATCCACCCCCCCCTCCCGAGAGATTCGCACTCGCGCGAAACTAATGGGTCCTGGGTTCGAATCTCGCGGGAGGGGGCGTGATCGTGAATGCGCACTGTTGAGGAGTCCCATACTAGGACAAAACAGCCGTCCATTGTTTCCAGGTTTTCCATGGTGGTCTAGCTTCAATTGACTCATGATTTCAACTAATGGAATTTCTAATCAATAATTGTAAATTATCTATAGTAAATATAGACTGTATTGAAAGAAGTTGAACTGTACATTGTTGATATATCATGAATACATTGTACATACATACATATATACATATATAAAGATAAGTTCATTAAACAATTACAGGAAAGACAAATCAAGCTTAAATTAAGTTAACTACAGGAAGTACTATCAATTTATAACCTACAAAACAATGCAAAATATTTTATTGAATATGTCAATCATTATACACCATAGATATTCATTCATTAATGTCATTTAATGGAACTACATATTTTCCAGTTTATTCATTTCTAAATGTATTAATATTATAGTATATAGAGATGTATATATGAAATGGTTAGAATTACACGAATTCACTCTTGTTATCTTTCGTGGAGATGCATAGATTGTCTATCAGGATTCTCCATCGAATTATGTCTTGAACAATTCTTTCCAATTATCTTCAATAGTAGATGCTTCTTCTTTATGTAGATCTTGTAATATTTGGAATCTGTTGTTAAGAGCTACGTTGAATTCGTTGAGTTGATTAGTATATTAAAGGAATGCTGTATTAAATCAGTTGTCTAGTACTTCTTTAGCTTCAGTTTCATCATAACCATAATCAGGTGGTGATCTGAATATGTATCAACTCCTTTCTTGATTCTCATATTTTTCACTGACCTTCTGATTTTTTTCATGATACAAATATGATCGATCTGGTTTTCTGTAGTGTGGTTCGGTGAGACTAATGTACCTTTATGTATGCGTTTGTGAGGAAGGAATTATAACCGTTTTTTGAATGCACATAAATTTACAAATTTGTCACCATTCTTGTTTGTTTCTCCCAGTCAAACTATATCATTCCACATACCGATCTTGGTTAGTTAACAACTGAAAACCTGTAATTAATTAACTCATCAAACATGCTCATTCATCACCCCACAACCGGAAATATAATACAGGATCTTCAGTCTCACACATGAACATCATGACTGGTAGAGGTATGAGGAAGATAGTAAACAAAGACAATGGAAGATGGTCATGCAATATCGTGAATTCTTCAAAGTTATACTTGTATATCATTAAACATTACCTTAACAAGCCAAACAATACCAAGTGAATTTAAATTCACCCCATTGTACAAGCAAGTGGCTATCTGGACTCAGTAGTTGAGTGGATAACGCGATGGCGTTTCAAGCGAACTGTATTGGGTTCGAGTCTCAGAGTGAACATCAACAAGTTTGAGATGCAGGTACATCCAGCTGTGACGAGTCCCAAATAGGACGAAGTGACGTGCGTCCTGGATTCCACTGCTTGCCACTGTCCATTATTGCTTACACTAGCTTAATAGTTTACAGGTTAAATGTTCATGTACGAGACTAATGGTCCTGAATTAATTATGACGTTTTGTGTTTCTACAATTTATGCTATTAATGTCAACAATTTTTTTCTGATATTTTAGGGTACAGCAGTGTATCAATCTGAAGAAGATGAAGAAGAAGAAGCTGAAGATAGTGAACCAATTTTAATTGATCCATTATCACAAAGCGGTTTAAAATCTGTTCGTAGTGATATTGAAGAACGTGCCTTAGATCCTAATCATAATTTTTTTGTTTTAGTCGATGATGGAACAACTGATCAATTAAAAGGTAAAGAAGCTGAATTACGTGCAAGATTTGAAAGATGTATATCATTATGGAATTGTGCAAGTAGTCCACAAGAACAAACAACAACTGCTACAAGTCCTCAAAGTGGACCTATAAGTTCTACAACACATTTACAACAACAACAACAGCAACAACCTCAAAATGGTATTTCTACACCATCTAACATCAATAATAATGTAAACTCAGTAGGATTACAAAGACAAGGTAGTACTATGGGTGGACAAATTAGTACAACATCTGGTCCACAAACAAGTGCAACATCAATTGGTAAAAATTCTGGTATAACCGGTGGTTCTACTAGTAATTCTGCTTTAAGTAAAGGTGCAAGTGAACCAATAGTTAGTAATCAACCTATTTCAACTACATCTGTTACACGTGGAGCAAAAGATAAACTTACTACTGAATCAAGTCTTAAACCAGCAAAAAGTGGAAAATCAGTTGGTAGTGAAGAAGAAATTTTAGTTCCAATGTGTGGATTAGTTGTAGGTGGTGATCGATTTACATTACGTCAAGTTTATTGTTCAATGATTAGAAATCGTTGTCCAATTGTTGTTACAAAGGTAGTTGAAGTTTTAGGGAAAAAAGTTTATAAATGGATCATACTTTTTTACATTTGATACAATTAAATTTAATAATATCATGATCCAAACTATGTTAGTTAGGTAATCACTAAGAGCATCGAAGCACTGAAAGGATTTAGTAATACTGCCATTAGTATTACTACAGTGGTGTGTACTACTGATGTTGACAGATAGAAGTAGTATATATCATCAATCGAAAGTGGAATGAGCAGCATTACCAGTTAACTGTAAAACTTCAGCAGCCAGATATTCGAGAACTGAAGCTAGGTAGACTGGAGCACCAGCACCAACTCGTTCAGCGTAATTGCCCTTGCATAGAAGACAATGTACACGACCAACAGGGAATTGAAGACCAGCACGGGCTGACCTTGTTTTAGCCTTACTACGAACTTTACCACCTTTACCACGTCCACTCATTGTTTTAAGAAGTAGAGAAGAGAATGAGAACAGAGAGTGAAGGAACAATGAAGTCTGAGATAATTGATTGACATTTTGCAAATGAAGTATTTATTGGATGGTTCTCAGATTTTGCTTGGGGATTTTGTAATTTTGTATTTACATACATATAGTTGTAACCGCCTGTGTTCTCACTTACTACACTACTATGATTATTACTATTTATTTACTGACTTACGCCTGTTACTCCTTATAGAAGAGCATAGGCCGCCTATCAGCACTCTTCATCCAACCCTGTCTTGACCAATCTTTTCCAAACCTTTCCAGTTGTTATTCATCCTTTTAATATCTTCTTCTATTTCCTGATGTAATGTGTTCTTTGGTCTTCCTCTTTTTCGCTTCTCTTCAGGACTGATACTACAACTGTTAATGATAATAATAGTAATATTTGTATAAATATCATCGACATCATGGCATGAAGATAGTCGTACTTCATGAATTGAATGAATTGTTATATTCATACCATTAAATCCTGGTTAACTAGTTTAGTAATGTTGTGGTAGCTAAGAAATTATGAGGTCCTGCATTCAATCCCATGTATGGTACACATTTATATAAAGTATCAAATTGTAACAAATCAACTTTCCAGTATTCTTTAATTTCTAACCGTTAGTTTACCATCCTACGTTAGTCCATAGTAAAAGTCAGTTTTACAACAACATTATCAATAAGTATTATGTACAAAGATGGGTAATGGCTGGTAGTGGAATCCAGTATGATGTGCATTTCTTCCTATTTGGAACTCGTCAGCTGGATGTATCTGCATCCCAGAGTTGATGTTCACTCTGGTACTTGAACTCAGTAGCGCATCCTGGATTCCACCGCTAATTAATTTTGCATATCTTCATTTTTTTTCTTTAAATCTATTGTTTCAGGGTACATCTGGTGCAGCGGATGTATTAGCATTTGGATTAGATGCTGCAAATAAAATGGCATCTGAAGAAGTTGTTGATGATAAAGATCAAGTACCATTGGAGGCTAGGTAATTTACATTAAATATTTCTTTTATTGATAGTTATGTATTGTCTAAACATAATTCACAGAAGACATCCGATAATTTGTTTGGGTAAACAATAAGAATCGGTTGACCAATCAATCTTAGATCCAACGAGATAGATGAATCGATAATTACATAGTGGAATGTTCATCTAGAACAGCTCATTGTTTAATTAGTTAGTGAGCATAGGTTAATTAGAGAGATCTAACTTTACAAAAACCTATGAGAGGGTAACTCAGTGTGGATTTTTTTGATTGAGATCATGAACCGATTGATGTTAGACCATAGTTAAAAACCTGGAAGCACTTGACGGCCATTTCGTCCTATTGTGGGACTCCTCAGAGTTGCACATCCAAGATCCCATTTGCGGGGTTCAAACCCAGAGCCTTCAGTCTCGCGCGCGAACGCTTAATCTACTGGACTGTATCCAGCATGTTTATAGGTGAATGGTTTTAATCATGTCTGCCTATTATTATGAAACGTTATCAACATCAACAAAAAGCTTTGATACCTAATTAATAGTAAAGTTGAGTACAGTTACTGTACGTCATCATTCGTTGATCTACATCAGTAAAGTGTAGCTCATCAGCCGAAGTAATACAGCGGTTCAAGAAAAAGTTTACACAGAAACTCAGCTCCCAGTGTTTAATTTCTACTGGATGATTTTCAATTTGAGTGAATTGTATATTATTAGAAAGGGAGCTTGTGAAGATCGTTGAATTTTTATGGTTGGATAAACATTATATAATTCGGCAAGTATTGGGCAAATGTCTAAAGTTTGTGTAGAACTCCATTCATTGATCATGATCATATGTTGTTAGTTTATTTATTTATTTATTTAAACACATAAACATTAGTACAATGAGGCACCAAACAGAAATACGCCACACAAATCACTTGATTTGTATGAGAGCTGATCTACTACCCGGGTGCCCGAACCGAAGCAAGTGGTTTTCTTAGGGGGACACACCCGGAACCTTTGACCTAAAGGTCTGATCCACAAGGCAATGGAGCAACGTCAGGAAATACAGTCGCATGGTATACGTTGACCAACAATAGGTTCATACGCTATATGTTACCTCAGGATACTGGAACCCATGTCCACCATTGATTCGGAATCAGGGTTTTCCAACTCCCTTAGGTGGACTCTCCGTATCCACCGACCCGGTTAAAGCGCCGTACATTTTCTTTTCATCCTCTCAATTTCGTAAACAACACTCCCCCACCATGAGAAAGCAGTGAGTAGAACTTCCCTAACAGTGGTTGTGTGCTCCTGGCCATGTGAGAGCATTTCCAGAGAGAAAGGTGACTCTCCACTCTCGGTCGTATCAGGGCATTTGGGGGATAGTGGTTAATTTGAAAAGGGGATTTCTTAAGTTCTAGTGAGATGTGTAAAGTGATATTCAGCAATGTATGATATGAAACAGTTTTTCAACAGTAGGAATTGAAAGATAATTAAAAAATATAGTAAATTGATTAAACTAATGGGTAAGTGCTCACGTGCGAGACTGATAGGTTCTGGGCTCGAATCCCACAAGGCGGCGTTGTGGATGCGCACTGCTGAGGAGTCTCACAATAGGACAAAACGGTTGTCTAGTGATTGCAGGTTTTTCATGATGATCTAGCTTCAACTGACTCATGATCTCAACTATTAGAATAGATAAATCAGTTCATTATAATTCATTTCTCTAAAGAATAAGTTCTAACTTAGAGACTAAAGGTCCTGCTTTCTATCACCAATGCGATTGTAGATATGTTCTTCGGATAATTCCTATACTAGAAGGAAACAACTGTCCATTACTTTCTAATGTTCAATGATTATCTAATCATAAAACTGACAACTGTTTCTATCTATTCCATAGAGACTATAATTAAAACTATATGTTTAATATCAGGTAAGAATGTAACTTGGATGAAATTTTTAGTTTGCCTTATCTACCGGTGAAAAGAATTCCTATTGACTTTTAATGACCTTTTAAAATTTCTTTATTTATTAAGAAAGATAAAGTGGTAGATTTACAATTGATTGATCATTGGGTGGTGATTAATGTCATGTATGTTAGATTGTTCTTTCGTGCAGATCGAATCCTATCGACCAAGTTGTAAATGGCCAATAGTCTAGGTGACTCGACATTGCATACAGTATGTTGAGATAAGATGGTGGTTGGAGTTAGTCGACAGGCAACCCTGGATCCGAGTTTGTTGTTATTAGGTACTTGTCAGCAATTTGTACCTGTAATCTTAATGGAACTGATACTCCTTAACGGATTCAATCCCGTATCACCCAGTTTCACAGTGAGCGATGTTACCATATGGGCTATTCGGGCCGCGACTGACCACCTTTAGGACCGAGATGTGTTTTAAAATTGATTGGTCACTGGGTAGTGATCAATGTCATGTATGTTATGTCCTTCCTAGTGTAAATCGAACCCCAGTTTTACAAAATTACAATTTCAATACATACATAAATGAATAGTGGAGATTAAAATCTGGTTTCAGTATATGGATGTGATCATTTCTTTTTACATTTTACGGGACCGTGGATATTGATTGCTGAAGTGTTCCATACTAGAATGAAACGCTCGTTCAGTACTTCCAGGCTGATTCATGATCTCTTGTGCGTATTCAATAAGTTTCGACTATAAACGGTTAACATGTAACGTTTTAATCACTGAGATCAACGGTGAAAGGTAACTCAGTGGTTTGTATGTTAAGCTAGTAACGATAGCCTAGAAGGTCCTATGTTCGATCACTGACAAGGCTGTGAATGAATGTTATTGAGGTTTCCAGTAAAACAAAACAACTGAACCTAGTGATCAGAATAGAATTGCCTTTTACAAAGGTTCAATTAAAATCTATGACCTATAAACTCGAATAAATTGATGGTTGAAATGACTTAAAACCGCCCTATTTCACAAATGACCGAATTCAGATATCTAGACTATTCAGAGTCAGCTGAATGATATGTTGTTGTGATTACCGACAGACACAACTGTTCTGAACTTACTCAAGTATATAGTAATAGATGAGCTTGGTCGACGGATGTCATAAGATGCCAAAACATCCGTCCAGGGTCTCTCCAATTAATGTCACACTTTTGATAATGATGATGATCTTTTTACATACAGAAAACATTGTCAATGATTAAAAAAAATTTATCATACAATCGTCTTATAATATACCCAAGTAAGTCCTCTGGAAAGTAGTAACACCCAGGCAAAACTACCCCTATTCAGATACTTACATAATAAGTATGTACTTTAAGGTAACTTCCAAGTCAGATAACTTTCCATAATCAATTCTATTTAAAGATGTTTTAAACGATGGATTGTAGGAGCATTGTAAATCTGGAAGTATTGACCAGCTCTCCTTTTCTAGTATGGAGGAAGGCTGATGGATGTATTCCAAGTAAAGATCGGATTCAGACAAGGCTGCCTACTCTTTTGATTTCTCTTTCTTTTGGTGGTCGACGGGATTATGAAGACCTCCATATCTTAAGGGAAGCATGGAATACAATGAAGAGCTCGGAATCAATGAGAAGATTTGGACTTAGCAAATGAGCTCTCCCTCCTATCCCATACACACCAACAAATGCAGATCAAGACAACTAGTGTAGCAACAGCCTCTGCAACAGTAGGCCTCAACATACACAGGGGAAGAAGAAACATCCTCAAATACAACAGAGAGAAAGCCAATGCAATTACACTTGATGGAGAAACTTTGGAAGTTGTGGAATCTTACGTGCCTGGGAAACATCATTGATGAACAAGGAGAATCTGATGCAGATGTATAGCTGAGGATTAGCAAAGAAAGGGACGCATTCCTACAATTGAAGGACATGTGGAGATCAAAACAATCGTCAGCCAATATCAAAGTCATAATCTTCAATACGAATATCAAGACAGTTCATTCTACTCTACGGCGCTGAAAAGTGGAGAACTATCACAAACATCATCAAAAAAGTAAAAGTATTTATGAAAGATTGTCTGCATAAGATACTCAATATCAGCAACCATCAAAAACAGACTACTGTGAGAGAGAACAAATCAGCTTCCATCTGAAGAGGAAATTAGGAAAATACGTTTGAATTGGATAGGACATACATTACAAAAATCGCCAAACTGCGTCACAAGGCAATCACTAACATGGAATCGTGAAGGGAAACGGAAAAGTGGAGGGTCAAACAATATACTGCATCGAGAATTGGAAGCATATATGAAAAGAATGAATAAGAACTGGAAGTAAGTGGAAAGGATTTCCTACGACAGAGTTGGATGTGGAATGTTGGTGGGCGACCTATGCTCCACCACGAAGATTGACAAACGTACGTAAGTAAGTCAGTAATTATATCCATAAATTCCAACCTTCAGATCTTACTATCTTCAATGTTTCTCTAGACAATTACGGTTGATAACAATGAATAATTTAACATTTTATATAAATTTTTAACTTTGAAGGCTTGAATCAATCATTGAAGAATTTCTTGGTGATTTACATCCAGATTATACGAATTATACAGATGAAGTGAATATGTTATGTGAAATAATCAATGACTATACAAACTTAGTATCAGTATTTGATATGGAAGAAGATTCTGATTTGGATGGATATGTAATCTCTTCATTGCTTGCCAGTGGTAAATAGAATTCTTTTCTTATTTAATTATGTTTATTCATGTATTTCATTAACCTAATGAAAGAGATGACGATTGTGAAAGTAGACTTGAAGGGATAGTGAAATATCATTGAGCTCTAGTTGGGTCACTGATTGTCGATTAGATCATCAATCCCTGTCGAAGTCAAGGACATTCAACGCGCATCAGATAATCGTATACCATGGATTGGCCAATGCTATGGTAGTCTCACTATCTTCATTGTACTCGTTCTTACTAAAATATTTTTGTAATCACGTCCTTTGTGTTGTACGATTTTCAAAGTATTCATAGTACCTTGATACGACGAATGGGTAATCCACGTTAGATGCTAACTGCTAGATGTGATTTCGACGTTAGCTGTAGGTCACACTGTTCCCGTCTAACTCGAGTAGGTCCCCAATCATTCGATATAAATCATCTACATTGGTGATCTACAGACTTCTATTTGATGATAACATCATCATATTTCACAATAAAGGGTGCTAAAATTGATTCAAGCTTTTAAGATCTGATTCGATTTGAATTAATTAAAAGATCCTGGGTTCGAATCTCGCGAGGCGCGATCATGACCGTACCAGAACGAAACGACCATCTAGTGCTTCCAGGTTTTCCATGATGGTCTAGCTTCAATTGACTCGTGAATTCAACTATACAAATTACATATACACTTATTAAGAACATTTATATATGAAAAAGTAAAAGGTCGATCAAACTAGAAATGAAGGATAAGAGGAGAAAAGGATAATAAAGAAAATAGTAATGTGAAAACAATTTGAAACCTCATCACTCTGGATAATAAGTTAATATTACCAGGGTAGGTTTAAGGTAAGAACAAACTGTTTTTGAATACACAAAAGGGGGTTAAATTTTCGTATGGTTAAAAGTTCAATAAACTTTAGTATATACCTGGTATCATTTACGTGTATCTTCTTACTGTTGTTTAAGACTGCAAGTGATCAGTCTCTTGTTGATATATGTATATCATGTGAGGATCGCCGCGGTATTGTCTTAAGAAACAAACATTATAACGATAGATAGATAATGGTTAGTAGTGGAATCCAGTTCGACAGGCGTTTCGTCCTGTTTAGGACTCATCAGCTGAATGTACCTGCATCTCAAAGTTAATGTTCACTCTGAAACTCCGACCCAGTAATGTCTAATTCAAACGTGGGTTTGAATTTCAGAGTGAACATCAACTTCAGGATGCAAGTACATCAAGCTGACGAATCCTAAACGGGACAAAGTGTCACGCGTAAAAAATGGATTCCATCGATAACCAATATCTATCTTCGCTTAGAATACTTGTAAATTAAGACAAAATATCGAAGCAATCCTCATAGGATGCACATATGTCAATAAGAAATTGACCAACCACAATCCTAAATAACAATGGGAAGATACAAGTAAACAACAACACCAAGGTTAATCGAATGATCTAATCGTATCATGACTATAACATAGATCGAATTCTCTATCGTATTGGAATAGACAAAGTGCATTGAAAGAGAACACAAGTGAGGACAATCAAGTTATATTTAGTATAAAATTACAGAGTTACTTGGTAAAACAGAAAAACCATACTATAATACTTAATTTGCAAAATGTTCAATAAGTGTCTCGATCTTCATTGTTCTTGCATTTCCATACTAATTGCTTTCTATTCCCGCTCTTCCTTTCTTGATCTTCCTAATCTTCTGCTGCCAGACATTACATTCCTGACTCGCGTCATAGACTACTTATATCAATATAAGTAGCACGCACCACAAAATCAAAGATATTACAGTAATAAAGTATATTCAATTCATCTAATGACATTTATCCACATGAATACCCATTAATAATGAATCATTTCTATATTATGAATAAGATAATGGTAATTCTCATGAAATAAGTTTTATCCATAATCTACTATTGATTGTATTCAATACCACTAAATGAATGGGAAATAATATTAAAACTATAAAACAATATGATTTATGATGTAACAAATCAATTTGATTGTAGATTTTTCCCATTGAAATATGGGATTTTTCTCCTTTTTTTGTAAACGGTGGGGGGTGGGGGTGGTTAAAAAAAAAACATTAGCATTAGTATTTTTCTATATTGTTCGGTAGGTTAATAGTGGTAGATAATACTTTTGTCATATTCATATGTAGTACTCGTCAGTTGTTGGGGTGTTTTTTGGTGCATGTGTGTGTGTATCTGTGTTTAACTTAGGTCTATGACGTAATTCAAAATGGATTTTATTATTTATAGAAAATTATGTAATGAACAATTCTTGTATGTTTGTTTTCATTTATCATTTGAATTTGATTCTTCATATAAAGATTGACTGGGTTAACTATTACATTTCATATACATAGTTTCCTTTGATTATCTTAAAGAGAATAAAAACAAAGATCAGTACGGAATAATATGAATTCATGTGCTCACTAGTGAATAGCATCGTGAGGGAATTACCGGAGTTCTAGTGAGAAGCCGTGACCAATGGAGCGAATCCATGTCGGGTAGTGACAGGTATCTATCTCAGTACAATAGAAGATGGTCGCGCAATTTCATGGATTAGTTGATGTTAAACACTATCATCATTGGATGCTGGCTAAGTGGTCCAGTGGGTTAAGCGTTCGCGCGCGAGACTGAAGGCCCTGGGTTCGAATCCCGCTTGCGGGATCGTGGATGCGCACTGCTGAGGAGTCCCACAATAGGACGAAACGGCCGTCTAGTGCTTCCAGGTATTCAATGGTTCATGAACTCAATCAAAAATAATATAAATTCACTTCAATTCTAATAGCTGAGATCATGAGTTAATTGAAGCTAAATCGCCATGAAAAACCTGAAAGCAATGGATGGGTGTTTCGTCTTGGTTTAGGATGCCTCAGCAGAACACATCCATGATCCCACTTCGCGAAATTCGAACCCAGGATCTATCGGTCACATGATCTCAACTATTGAAATCACTATATTATGCACAAAAACACCCTCTGATAATAATCAACATATGCTCACTAGCGACTGGCTAAAATAGGTATTTCCTGAAATTCTAGTGAAAAGCAGTGAACAGTGGAGTTCAACCACGTCTGTTGTGAAATAGTAACTCACTGAAGATAATGATGGATGTGTCGCTCAATTTGGTGGATTAGTTGAAGGTAGACATTAACACTGGTAGATGCCAGCGGTCTCAGTGATTTAGAGGTTAGGCGTAGATACGGTCGAAGATACTCTTTGCTGAGGAGTCTCATAATAGGAAAAAACAGTCGTCTAGTGCTTTCAGGTTTTCCATAGTGATCTAGCTCCAATTGACTCATGATCTCAACTGGTAAAATTATTATAACATCCACAAAACCCCCTTCTGATACTCATCACTTCAATTCATTATGTTCTGATCAGCTGCTTAGAAACCGATCAAATCTAAGTTGTCATAGAAATTGAAATACTTATAAATACGATGGTATATAGAAGTGAACATATATGTCATGATGTAGCGAACATTCCAAAAGAGTTAATAAGGTGATAGAGAACTGTTTATTTCTGATAAACAAATAAGATGTTTCAAACGTTTGATCGCTATATATTGTGTCCCACGTTGAACGTCAACTCTGGTATACAAGTACATTCCTCTGATGAATCCGAAATAAATTGAAACGCGCCTCCTGAATTTCATTACTAACCACTATCAATCTTTCCTTATAATTCTTAAAGTAGAATAAAGAATTTGTTTAGTATTCATTTATATTTAAAAGAATCCTTGATTATATAAGCCATAAGTGAATAATAAACAAACATTTCATCACAAATTAAAACTTCCTATTAGTCTTGTTACATCTGTTATAACTTGTGACCTGTATGCCCTCTTAATGTATAACATAATGATACCGTCAATTAGAGAACAGTGAATTATCGAACGAACCAATGACTCCTAAAACCCGTACGAGAAGTCTACACAACATATCGATCCTTCTTCCTGCCTAGCTCTGCCTATTAAATCCAGAACACTAATCTCAATATCCGCGATATGAATCATGTATTACAAATATACTTGGTTTATGTACAAACCAAACAGATCACATAGTATCATAAAATAGATCTAGCCAGAAGTGGCCCTTCTATCGCAAACGCAACAACAAATGAAGAAGACGACCAGTGTAGTAGCTGTCTCAGCAGCAGTAGGTCTCAATATACACGAAGGGAAAAGCAAGATTCTCCGATACAACACAGCATGAACCAATCCACTCACAATTGACGGAGAAGGTCTGGAAGATGTAAAACCCTGTACATATTTGGGCAGCATCATTGATGAACATGGAGGATCTGATGCAGATATGAAGGCAAGGATCGGCAGTGCAAGAGCAGCATATTTACAACTAAAGAACATCTGGAACTCAAAACAACTGTCTGTCAACCAACACCAAGGTCAGAATTTTCAATACAAATGTCAAGACAGTTTTACTGTATGGGGCAGAAACCTGGAGAACTACGAAAGCCATAAGCGAATTACTTCGGATCCGTTGGTCAGACACTATCACCAACAACCTACAGTGGGAGAGAACAAACCAGTGGAAAATGAAATCAGGAAGAAGCGTTGGAAGTGGATAGGACACACATTGAGGAAAGCACACAACTGCGTAACAATACAAGCTTCCACACGAAATCCTCATGACCAAAGGAGAAGAGGAAGATCAAAGAAGAACGCATTACGCCGGGAAATCGAGACAGACATAAGAAAAATGAACAACTATTAGATAGATCTATGAGAGAAGGCCCAGGACAGAGTGAGTTGGTTGAAGAATGCCAATCGGCGACCTTTTCTCCATTAGGAGTAACAGGCGTAAGTCAGTAAGAAGTGGCTGTGAATATGGAAGACTGTAACTGATAGACCAGGCATAATTCAAGAATGGTAAGTCGTATCATAATAATCAATAGATCAAAATAAAGCTTACAATAAGAAGAATATAGATATACATAATCTAGTTACTCAATAGTTATAGATCAAGAGTAGATGTATCATATTAGTACAGAAATAGATCCCAACAATTCCTATTCATTATTCTCATCAAGATATCACAGAATCATTCCTTTTTTTTTCTTTTTCATTTCATTATTCCTTTTTATAGCTGGTACCACGGTTACATCAGATCAAATTAATTTAGAACAATTAGAAATTACTTTAACATTAAATCGTGCTGATATTGCACGTGAAAAAATATTTTTAGAAAATAAAAAATGGAAAGTAAGTGAATGAGTTTAATTGAATCAATCCCTTTTTTTAATGATCGTTATTATATTAATGATGATGTAACCAATCGATCAATAAATTAATCAATAAACCGATCAATCAATCAATCAATTAATCACTATCTAACTTTCTAGTTGGTTAATATACTCACTTTTTGTTTTGTTTTTCTGATCGAACGTCTATGCTTGATGGTTGATGAATAGATGTTGTTTTGTATATTGGTCATATATATATATATATTAGTGATTAAGTGAATTCTATTGATTTCAGTGAAAATATCTTTAAGAATAATCCATTCTGGATGTGTTATAACTAATGACCGCCAATTAGAGAGCAGTGACTTATCGTTCGGAACAATGACGTATAAAACACGTGCAACCTGTCTAGAGTACTTATCCGTCCTGCTTCCTGCCTAGCCCAGCCAGTTATGTTCAGAACGCCAATCTCAGCCTCTGTAATATGAATCCTTATATTTCAAACATACTGAGTTTATATATCAGTCAAACAGACCACAACGTACCATAAAATAGGAAACATCATTTGTACAAGAATTAGCCAAATGTGGCTGTAGATGAGGGAGATAGTAATCAATAGACAGAGCATAATTCAAGAATGGTAAAACGTATAATGATGGTTCATAGGTCAAAATAAAGCTCATAAAAAGAGGGACATGAATATGGAAAGTTTAGTTACATAACAATTACACGATAAAAATATATTCATAGTATTGGTTCATAAAAAGGATCCCAAAGTTACCATTAGTTATGTTTATCGGGACCTAACAGGATGATATTAAAGGTGGTCGATCTTCAACTTTGTATATAGTTTGTCTTGATAACCATCAATAGATAATGTCCGCAACGGTGTTTTAATCAGAAGGTGATTATGTTTATTATTGCACTACCAACACACAGATATCCAAATTTACAAGTATGCTAAGCATGTATGGAATAGTAGTGCTGAAAAGGAAGCAAGTAAGCGAGTTCGCACTCGAGTTCAATACGTCCTAGATTCGAATTCTCTTAGTGTAGGATCATGGATACTCACTGTTGACAGAACAACCATCTAACACTTTCAGGTTTCCAATGGTGATCTAGCTTCAATCAATTCATAACTTCAACTATTACATATATAATCAGAATGGGTTTTGTGGAGATTTTACAAATTTCACTAGTTGAAATCATGAGTCAATTGAAGCTAGACCACCATGAAAAACCTGGAAGCATTGGACAGCCATTTCTTCCTAGTATGGGACTCCTCGTGGATTGATTGAAGTTAGACATTAACACCGTTGGATGTCGGTCAGCTCAGTGGTCTAATTGGTTAAGCGCCTGACGCGAGACTGATCCAATCACTCTTGATGGCGAAACTCTGGAAGATTTAGAGTCCTTCACATACCTGGAAAGTATCATCGATGAACAAGGAGAATCTGATGCAGATATAAAGGCGAGGATTGGCAAAGAAAGGACCCTATTCCTACAATTGAAGAACATATGGAACTCAAAACAACTTTCAAGCAATGTGAATGTCACAATCTTCAATACCAACGTCAAGGTAGTTCTAATGTACGGAGCTGAAACTTGGAGAACTACCACAACCATCATCAAGAAGGTACAAGTATTTATAAATAGTTATCGATGCAAGATACTCAACATCCATTGGCCGGTTACCATCAGCAACAGCCTTTTGTGGGTGAGAACAAACCAGCTTCCATCTGAAGAAGAAATTAGAAAAAGACGATGGAAATGGATAAAACATACTTTACGGGAATCATCAAATTGCATCAAGTGGCAAGCCCTAACACAGAATCCTGAAGGGAAGCGTAAAAGAGGAAGCCTAAAGAACACATTACTTTGGGAAATAGAAGCAGATATGAAAAGGGTCAATAGGAACTGAAAGAAGCTGGAAAGGATTACCCAGGACAGGGTTGGATGGAGAATGCTGGTGAGTGGCCTATGCTTCTTCACGAGGAGTAACAGGCGTAAGTAAGTAAATAAGTAAGTAAGTAAATAAGTAAGTAAGTAAGTAAGTAAGTAAGTAAGTAAGTAAGTAAGTAAGTAAGTAAGTAAGTAAGTAAGTAAATAAGTAAGTAAGTAAGTAAGTAAGTAAGTAAGTAAGTAAGTAAGTAAGTAAGTGAGTGAGACTGATAAGTCCTGGGTTCGCATCTCGCGGGGGGGCGGGATCGTGTATGTGCACTGCTGAGGAATCCCATACTAGGACGAAACGGCCGTCCAGTGCCTCCAGGCTTTCCATGCTGATCTAGCTTCAATTGACTCATGATTTCAATCAGTGATATCGCATACATATTTACTTTTGATGACTTTTCTCTTTTTTCTCTTTCTTTTCTTTTCTTTTTCTAGAAAGGTCAATTAAATGATTATATGTATCAAGCATTAATGAGTGATCGACATGATTTTGTTAAATTATTCTTAGAACAAGGTTTTAGTTTAGAAGATTTTCTAACTATCTATATGTTAGAAAAATTATATACAGATCAATTAAAAAATTTGGTAATTTCTTATTTTATTACTTAATTACTTTAAAAAAAATAAAAAAATTTTAGAATTCCAAAGTAGCAATATTCAATAAAATGTGGGAATATAATCGATCACATCGAGTAAGTTCATATACATATTTTTATTTATTTTATAGTTGCCATGGTAACAGTACAATTTATGAATGATTTTTTTTGGTGGATATTTGAAAAGGTTAAATGAAGAGTTAAAGATTAAGATTATAATTTATAATTGATTATTAAGGCTCAAAATTGTTTTACGATGGTGTGTGCAGATATATTCACTCTTTGTGTTCTTCGACATTCTAATCTTCTGAATGCTTTATGTCCTCTATTTTTTCCTCTTTTGAAATTTATTTCATTCCATTATATTCTTTGAATAACATCTCCAAACCTTAATGTTTCCGATTACTGTTTATATTCTTACTACTTCTACCAACACAGGATTTGAATCGACAACTGTGTCTCTGTGGTAATGTGGTATGGCAACTCGAACTGATGTACGTAAGTACGTACGCACATATGAATTTCTACGTTGTTACTGACTGACTGATTAAGGTGAGGAATTAGATTTACAGTTCTCAATATGAACTGATATGAGCTATAATGTTGAAAGAAAAAAAAGTGGTATTTAGCTAAATAACTGGATAAATTTCGCGCCAAAATCTAAGATTGTAAGCACAGATGGATAATGGCTAAAAGTGGAAAACAGTTTGAAGTGCGTTTCGTCCTATTTTGGGCTTGTCAGTTATCCACTATCCATCTTCGCTTAGAATGTTTGTGAATTAGGACAATATCGAGGAAATCCACACAGGATGCACAGATGCCAATAAGAAACTGATTAATTGTAGTTCTTAATAACACTGGGAAGATTTAAGTCAACAATACTAAGTCAATGTAAATTTCACGGCATTTTACAAGCAAGTGGCTATCAGCACTCAATAGCTAAGTGGATAACGCGATGACGTTTGAAGTGAACGGTGTTGGGTTCGTGTCCCTAAATGAACACCAACTCTAGTATGCGCATTAAACATTCATCTGAAGAGTTCCAAATAGGACGAAACGCACATCAAACTAGATTCGGTTGTTAGCCACTATCGATCTTTGCTTACATTATTTAAGGTAACAACAAATAAAATGCCTTGTTAAAATAGATCAATGATATCTATAAAGAGATTGTTTCGTTGACAAAAAAACTCTATTGAACATGATGGAATTTTAATTAATTTTCTTTAAGTGACATATAACTTGTTTAGAATCTAGGACCTAAGGACCCATATTATTTGGTCTAAAATAAGAAATCAATCACAACTGATTGATCACTAGGTGGTGGGTGATCAATGTCATGTGTGTCAATTCCTTCTTAGTGTAGATCGAATGCTGTCGAATAAGTTGCAATGTGGCCCACTACTCTAGGTGACTCGACATTGTGTGTATTATGTTGAGATAAGATGGTGGTTGCAGTTAGTCGACAAGAAACTGTGGACCCGGGTTTCATGCTATTTGGGACTCGTCAGTAAGGTGTACCTGTAATCTTAAGGGAACTAGTGCTCTTATTGGCACATGTGTATACTATGAGGAAAGATTGAGGTTTGAAGATGTTGTTCAAAGAGTATAATCGAGTGAAGCAAATTTGGAAAGAGAAAAAGAAAGGGACATGAAGCACTCAGAAGATTAGAATGTGGGAGAACACGCGTAATGGATACACCTGCACACACTATTGCAAACGATCTTGAGCCAATGCCATTGAAGTTCTCTAACCATCGGTTGCTATCATCACGCGGTCCCCAACCAGGTAGTCTACACCTACCAAAATGACTCAGTCCACTTGTCAGTGACTTCATGGATTTGTGCTTTGTTTTGGTTTGGCCGCCTCTAGCTTTCTTTCAACCCACTCCTACACCATAAAACATCGCACGTCGGGGCAGTCGGTGGTTGGGTATACGTAACACATGTCCCAGCCATCTCACCTGATGAATTTTCATTACTTCATCAATTGACTTGCCATCCATACTTAGTACCCGTTTCATAACAACTACATTACTTATATATATATAATTCTAGTTCAATGGAGCTCTTCATTTTGACGTCAATTAAACCACACGATGTTGTCGACGGGTTCACCAAAGATCTGACTCCATTTGGATCATGTGATGATTGTTAGTGAAATATACATTTCGTCAATCCTCGTATGTAATTATCAACTTAAATCGCTTTAATGAATAAAGGAATTAAATAAGTCGAATACAAGGATGGATTTCGAATACGTATATTTTGTACAATCGTTGATCGGAACAGACAATCAGAGAATCTCAGTGAAGAAGGCGTGTGAGCCAATTCCAGTTGATCAAGCGTTAATGAATATTTATAGTCATACATACATACATGTGATGAATGTGATAAGAAGTGTATACACACATATGCTCATTTAAAAACAATCAGGGTTGATAAGTGAATAATTAACAAGGTGAAAATGTAGTTTAAGAAGAATGGATAAACTGGCTTTTATAGAAGCTAGAATAACCTCTGTCGGCTTAGCAGATCAACGGACACTACAATAGTATGGAACTCTCCAGCAGTGAGTATCCAAAAAATCAAAAGTAATCTAACTCAGAGCTTTATGTTTTCACCGTGAGTCTTTAACTCCTGGAATACTAAGTCGGTATCCAATAGTTTACAGGTCTAATTTCAATTAATCCTTCATGTTATTGTAACTAGCTTCCTTTGTTTTCAGTGAATAAGTGCTTGATACTTGGTATGAAGGAACTTCATAGATCATGACTTCTCAATAGAACAACTGGAATTACCTCTCAAAATTAACCGCTAGTGAAGTAAAATCTTGAAGTATTTTGTTCGATTTCTGGTAGGGTCTTGAATTGATATTACTGAAAAGCCCTTTACTATTCCGTAATTCCGGGTTTTAAATCATTGTTTAGTTAAGGTTATTTCGTGATCAGTTTACTTCTCTTAAAAATTTAATAGATAGATAATAGATTGATGTTCCCGGAGTGAACATTAACTCTAGGATATAGATACATCCGGCTGACAATTCCTAAATAGGACGAAATGCGCTTCTGGGTTATCATTGCTAGCCACAATCCATCTTTGCTTATAATTGTTAAATCATTCATGAACCGATTGATGTTAGACCACCATTGAAAACCTGAAAGCACTAGACGGCCATTTCGTCCCATTGTGGGACTCCTCAGCAGTGGGCACTCACGATCCCGCTCGCGAGGTTCCAACCCAGGGCCTTAAGTCTAGCGCGCGAACGCTTAACCAACTATACCCCTGAACCGGCCGCTATCCAACAGTTTTAATGTTTTACCTCAACCAAACCACAAGATTGCGCGATCATCTTCCATTGTACTGAGGTAGATACCTATGTCTACCCGACACGGATTATCTCCACTGCTTACGACTTCCAGGTTTTCAATGGTGGTTTAACATTAATCGGTTCATGATCTCAATCAATAACATATTAATCTCCACAACCCTATACTGATAAGTACCTTATGAATAAAAGTATGTGAATTGAGACTGACATTTTATCACACTGCTAGTTCTATTCAAATAGGCTATTCAAACTTGAATCTCAATCTTCGATAGATTCATAAATGTACACTGTTGAAGTGTATCTAGTAACTTTTAATTTTTATTGACGGTTTCATTAACGTCAATCCTTGATTCATTAGAAATCAATTAAAAGAATCATTCGATCCCTACTCAATTATACATTCCGTATTTCATTGCCATGTGAACTGTTACGGTAAGGCAACGTTTCTTTGTTTTTTTAAATTTTATATTACAAACCTTTCTATTATAAATTTATTCGATAATGAATATATTTTAGAAACTAGGCAGAACTGTATCCAAAGAACACAAGGTAACAGAAGAGTAATACACGTAGTAATAGTAGTAATAGTAGTGGTAGTAGTAGTAGTAACAGTAGTAATAGTAGTAGTAGTAGTAGTATAAGTAGTATTGATTGATAGTAGTATATTTACCAATTATCAATTATTGATTTTTTTTCTTCTGTAATATCTGTTTGTGTAAATATTTCTCATTGTAATATTAAAGTCAATGCATGTGCTATGAATGAATGTTTAGAATGTAGACTATTGAATTCTTTATTAAATTGTAGATCTGCATGAGATCTGTTAAGACTATTGTAGAGATATATTCATTATTGATTAGATAGTATTATTATCTGACCAGTAATATATATATAGGGATGTATATGATGAGAGTACAGTTCATGGACGACCTTGGAGGAACGTTAACATGACCTTGGAATGTCGACCTATTTACTAATGTTGAATGAACGTTAGAGATTAATGGGAGAAATTAGGATGGTTAGGAATTAGATTTAGGATTTTTCATTATGAATTGACATTAGCTATAATGTTAAAATAGTATTTAGTCAAATGAATGAATGAATTTCGCGCTAAAATTCAAGATTTGCTATCTTCAATCGGATTGATTTGTCTATAAATTATAGTCTTACTATCTATACAGATATTCATCGTATTGATGATGCTTCATCTGATCATCTGATCAGATGAACTCCATCTTCTCATTACTCTATCGAAATTTATAATATATCAGTTGATTAACTAATCGTATATGTTATATATATAAGCATGGCTATTTGTACTCATTAATGTATTTATGCACAATAATTAGTGTACACAATTCAATACATTGTATCTATCTGTGCTTTCTTGTGTCATTTAACCAAAAGTATATTTGATAATCTTGAATTCAACCATTAAATTACTACAATCTCCACACCCCCGCCTTCTGATATCAATCAGTGTATGCTCACTAGTGATTGTCTCCAAGAGGTATTTTCTGGAGTTCTAGTGAGTAGACGTGATCAGTAGAGTTCAACTATGTTTTTTATGAGATAGTGTCTCACTGAAGACAATGATGGATGTGTCGCTCAATTTCGTGGTTTGATTCAAGTTAGACAATAACACTGTTGTGTGCCGGCTTAGTGGTCTATAGGTTAAGCGTTCGAGCATCGTTTCGAATCTCCTGTGGCGGGATCATGGATGTGCACAACTGAGGAGTCCTATACTATAATGAAAAGGCCATCCTGTACTTTCAGGTTTTCCATGGTGGTTTTGCTTTACTCAACTCATGAATTCAACTATTAAATCTTAAAATATGAAAAAAGCTACCTACTTCATTGTACATTATGTTTGTTATTAAATTATTTAATGTTTAACTGGACAGGGAAATGAAAATTACTATGGTTTTTATAGTAAATGATTAGTAGCGATGTGTTTTTAACACATTTTATTGTGACGTGTGGTGTTCAAAATCGACATTGGATACATGGTGTACTGCACTCTAACCCCCCTCCGTCCAACTAACAACACTTGAGTGAGAACACAAATGTGAGTGAGAAAGCATATTACGCTACCGAATATATTGGACAAATATTCGTCTATATAAATATACCAGTCTAACCCTCTAGAAATTCATCAATCCCTTGGCTAATGAAATACATTTGTCCTTCAGTTCATTTCTAATTGTTATCGATTAATCTTCTTCTTGTTAGGCTACTTCTAATTAATGATTTAATAAAACTTAGTTACTTTAAGAAAGAATGAAATTATTATTTTGTTAACTGACCAGGTTTTTAAATAGAGAAAGATTAAAACAATATAGAAATATTCACTTAGTATTGTTTGGCTTATATCTTCCCATTGAGGTTTAAGACTGCAATTGATCAGTCTGTTATTGGCATATGTGCATACTGTGCGTATGCCAATAACAGACTGATCAATTGCAGTCTTAAACCTCAATGGGAAGCTATAAGCCAAACAATACCAAGTGAATTCAAATTTACCCCATTGCATAAGCAATTGGTTATCAGGACTCAGTAGCTGAGTGAATAACGCGATGGCGTTTGAAGCGAATGGTAATGGGTTCGAGTACCGGAGTGAACATCAACTGTGAGATGCAGGTAAATCCATCTGATGTGTCCCAAATGGGACGAAACGTTCGACCTGGATTCCACTGCTTGTCACTATCCATCATTGTTTACAAAAAAATCTAGAAATATATTTAACTTTTGAATAATTCTGATTTAAAGAGGGTTTTATGGAGATTTTAGTAATTTAATAGTTAAGTTCATTGGTCGATTAAAGCTAGACAACCATGAAAAACCTGGAAGCATTGGACGGCTGTTTCATCTTTGTATGGGACTCCTTAGCAGTACTTATCCACGATCCCGCATACGGAATTCAAACTTGGGACCTTCAATTTTGCTCGCGAACGGTGACTTAACTAATTCCATCTTTTTTTATGATGAGTTCATTCTTTATATTGTTGAATGAATATACACCATTAAAGAATCTTAAATTATACAATAGTTTAGACCAACAGTAATAATCTGGAAGCATTAGACGGTCATTTCGTCTTAGTTCACAACTCGTCAACATTGCGATTCCATGATCTCACAACGAACGGATTCGAACCTAGGACATTCGATCTCGTAAGCAAACTCTTAACCTGTAGACCACTAAGTTTGCATCCAACGATGTTATTGTCTAATTTCAACCAATCTATAATAATGTACATCCATCTTCCATTAATTTCATTGTATAATTGCCTCACATCCATCATCGTTGAACTCTTCTGGTTACAGTTTCCTACTAGAACTTCTGAAATCATTTCTCAAAGAGAGTCACTACACACCAATGAAACTGGAGGTTTAATCATTCGCGAGCTCAATCGAAGGTTCTAAGTTCGAATCCCTTCATTGTGGGTTCATGGATTCATACTATTGACGGATCTCATACTAGGACGAAATGATTGTCCAGTATTTTTAGGTCCCAAATGGTAGCTAACATTGATCGGTTCATGATCTTAATACATAGATTTAGAAACTTAATCACATTTGTATGTTTCAAATATTCTTTTCAATATATGTTGTTGTTGTAGTTGCATGTTAATGTTGTTCAATGATGATGATGATGCTGATATAACTTTGCTTCAATGTTGTCATTTAGCATGAATACAATAAATTGAATGATGTATTCATTTAGTTAATAGTATCTTTTCAGTAGTATATTGCAGTTGTTCGCTAGTTAACTAGTTATTTCCTTTATTGATTTTTTTTGTTTTTCTTTTTGTTTTACTTCTTTCTTCTTTATATTATTCTATCTTTTTTATCATTAGACATCGAAAGTGGCATTACGTGATGTTGGCAAAGTGATTAAAGCATTAGTTGGTGATTTTTATCATCCACTTTATTTAAGTAAAGAATTTCAAGCGAAATTAATGCCGGAAAAAAGGCTAGAAGGCGCTGGTAAGATTCATGTTATATACATATATATATATATATAAAGTATTACATTTTTATAATATAGAATCCTCCCTCCTCAAAATGTGTATTCCCCACATTGGGTAATCAATTAAGATCGGTGAACTTATAATTTATGAACGATCACTGAGTGACACGAAAGTGACCTTGAGAGTGTTTACCCTAATCACCAGGATCAAATGAGAGTTATGAACCTGTATCATGAATAAGGATTATGATTTATAATTGATGATTAAAGTAAACAATTAGATTTCAGGTTTTCATGACGAACTGATATCAGCTATCATCAAGTGAATGATTTTGATGAAGTTTTGTTCTCTGAAATGTGTGCTAATGATGTTGTTTAGAAGAACAATGAAAGTTTCACAACCAAACCATCTAGCTCAGAGAACAAAAGGACGAATGAATTCAGTGTCAAAATCTGAGATCTGTTATTCTCAATGTAATTGGTTCGTTCATAAATTATAGTCTCCAACGGATATAATTGATTATTTCTATGTGAAGTATACTACAGATGAATTAACCATTAAGAAGTTATAGATTCTGTTAGTTACTGACTGATGTAATGATTCAAGTATAAGATTCATGTTTGAATACTTTATTTTATTCAATGTGACCAATTATTTCTTATACTATTCATAAAAACATTAACCACATGAAGGGAAAATTGGTTAATCTAGTCATTTGTTATGTGTACTTTTAGTTACTTAATTACTTACGCCTATTAACCCCAATGGAGTATAGGTCGCCGATCAGTATTCTCCAACCCACTCTATACTAGCTTTTCCTTTCTAGTTCTATCCAATGAATGTTCATTCTTCTCATGTCTGTCTCCATATGTCTACGTAATGTATTCTTTGCTCTTCTTCATATTACTATTACATAAGAGGTAATTTATTTAATGTTTATTTACGTAATCTTCATTGTGATGCATTTTGTAATTAGAATATTGATGAATTTATAAATCCTCTCTTTATTTGACAATAACATTACTGACATGATATTACTTAAATTCAATTTTAGTAGTATCTGATTGAGATCATTAACCGATTGATGTTAGATCACTATTGAAAACCTGGAAACACTAGACGGCCATTTCGTTCTATTGTGGGACTCCTTCGTGGCAGTGGGCATTGACGTTCCCACTCGCGATGTTCCAACCCAGGGCCTTAGGTCTAGCTCGCGAACGCTTAACTTCTAGACCACCAGGCCGGCCGCTATCCAACAGTTTTAATGTCTTACCTCAACCAATCCACGAAATTGCGCGACCATCTTCCATTGTACTGAAGTAGATACCTATGTCTACCCGACACGGATTATCTCCACTGGTTACGGCTTCTCATTAGAACTCCGAGAATTCAATGGTGATCTAACATCAGTCAATTCATGATCTCAATAACTTAATCATCTTCACAACCCCTATACCAATACACTTGGTATTGTTTGGCTTGTATCTTCCCATTGAGGTTTGAGACTACAATTGATCAGTCTGTTATTTGCATATGTGCATACTGTGTGTATGCCTCGATGCTGCCTTAATTCACAAGCCTTTTTTGTAAGCAATGATGGATAGTGGTTAACAAAGGAATCGAGGAGGCGCGTCACTTCGTCCTATTCAGGACTCGTCAGCTGAATGTACCTATATCTACAAAGTTGATGTTCACTCTGGGACTCAAACCCAGTATCAATCGCTTCAAACGCCGTCACATTATTCACTCAGCTACTGAGTCCTGATAGTCACATGCTTGTGCAATGGTGTGAAATTAAATTCACTTGATATTGTTTAACTTGTATCTGAATGGATAACGCGATGGTATTTGAAGCGAATGGTACTGGGTTCGAGTCCCATAGTGAACATCAACTCCCTGAGATACAGGTACATCCAACTGACGAGTCCCAAATAGGATGAAGTGATGCGCGTCCTAAATTCTACTGCTAACTATTATCCATCGTTCCCTCTACTGATAGTTAGTAGTCTCGTTAAATTACTGGATAGAATAATCGAATTTGTTTAACTTGTATCCTAGTAACACAATGAAATTATTGATTGATTTATTTATCTACTGTTTGTTAATAAATGATTCTTTCTTTTTTCTTTCTTTCTCTCTCTCTCTCTCTCTCCATTTCTTTTCTCTATTTTTGTCTTTGTTTTGTTTTGTTTTTGTGTGGTTAAACATAAACAAAACAATACATACTTATGATGTCTTTGAATTGATTGCATGTATGCATGCATCCTATTCAACTAATCGGATATACTATTGTTACATGTGATTTGTACTTGTTTATAAATGTAACCATTGTTATAACTAATCAAATCAATAACAAACTAACACTATAATCATGATAATGATTGTGATGTAATCATTGGTAACTAATATGGTCACTGAACTCTTATGTAATCATATGCTTGCTCTTTGATAATATATGTCTACATTATGTGTATGTATATACGAATTAGACATTTGTCAACGTTTATTAGTTTCTCATAAATTAAGAAATAGTCAAGATATTAGTCATTTATCATCATCATCATCATCATCATCATCATCTTCTTCATCATCATCTTATAATAATAATAATAATCATAATCATAATGGTGCTATATGTCCACGTACACTTGGTTTAAGAGATAGTGTACGATTTATTGATTATGGAGAAGATTATGATTATATGAATTTACATAATGTACATACATCATCATTACCATCAGCAGCAGCAGCAGCACCACCACCACCACCGACAACAACAACAACAACAATAGAAGATATAGGATTTCGTAATCCAGCATTTTTAGAATGTGATAAATATGGTAAGATTGTAGTGTTGTTGTTGTTCTTCTTCTTCGAGTAGCTATTGATTTATTCATTGATTTATTTAAACACATAAACACCAAATAGGGCTGAGATACTGCTCGGGTGCCTAAACTGAAGTAGGGTGGTTTTCTTAAGGGGGTCACACTTGGAACCTTTAACCTAAAGGTTTAATCTATAAGACAATGAATTAATGTAGTCAGTAATCAACAATTGGCTTATATACCATTTGTTCTTTCAGGATACTGAAGCAAATGTACATCACTGATTTGGAATCAGGATTTTTTAACTCTCCTAGATGGATCCTCTGTATTCAGCAACCTGGTAAAAGCACCGGATATTTGAGTAGCTATTTCTTTATACAGATTACATATATAAATAAATCCTCCTGTAATTTATAGGAGAATATCATTTTATCTAAGTATTATGCTAGACGACAATTATTAGAATATGATAGCAAGAAGTTAGGTTAAAGCTGACCTATAAAGGCGGATCTAATAATGTACGTACTAAGCACTTAACAAGACGGTATGTCATCCAAACCTGGTGAAATAAGAGATCTCCTAGAGGAATTATTGTTCATTGATAGTCTTATGAATATCTTGACTTAGAAAAACGTCTTAGAATAGACGTCATGATGAATGATTCTGTATGTGACCATGACAAAATTCCATTACTTACAATGTTTAAATTGAATCATGGTTTTCATTATAAACTGACAACACCTATAATGTAAGAATGGTTTTTAACCGTATGAACAAAAGTTGATGTCAGTTTATGATGTAAACATTCTTCCTTAATTGGAGTTCTTATCATAAATCATAATCCTAGAATAACTATTCACATTATCTTGTTTTCTGATTGACTGATTGATTGACTGAATGTACCAGGAATGTTCTACGATGATTTAACTAGATTCTGAAGCTCACGCTTGAAGTCTATCTTTGCCAAGTTTACAGTTTACCTGAAATTCTATTGAAATGATCCAGTTTTATAAGTATATCTAATGTCATGTCTCGTTTTTTGATGACTTACTTATTTACTTACGCCTGTTACTCCCAATGGAGAATAGGCCGCCGACACGCATTCTTCAAATCACTCACTCTATCCTGGACCTTCCTTTCTACTTCTATCTAATGGATGTTTATTCTTCTCATGTCTGTCTCCATTTCTCTGCTTAATGTGTTCTTTAGTCTTCTTATTTTCCTTTGACCTTGAGGATCAATTTCATATACCTAAATTAATGCATGCTCTGGTTGTCAGAAGGGACATCAGCTTCGTGACTTCCGAAGAACTCAGTTTTCACAATGAGGCGTCATAACTCTTCTAAATGAAGACCTTCTAACTCCCAGGGCAGTTCCATTCAATGCTGTGAACATTTTAACTGTGCTTGATTATGTAAAATAAACCTCAGTATTTAATAAAGAGGGATAATCATAAATGATTGTATTCAAGCGCTCTATTTCAGCCTGTTTGAGACTCATCACATTGATATATTTATTATTCATTGTTCACACTTGGAGTTGAATTCGATATTGTTCCCTTAAAACTTCAATAGGTTTTCCACTGAACTACTAGTTTCTGAAGGTCTCTAACTTGAATTGTGAACAGATTATTTCTATCATTCTTTCAAATAGTCTCAGATATTAGGATCATCAATGATATAATATAGTAATATGGTCAAAGTCTTAAAGTATGATGGAATCGTTTAGCTCACGTGAATTGTTTGTTAGAAATACCATCCAAACTAAAGATGTTGGTTCTCTGATTCAGAGATTAATTGTCTGCGCACGTGACTGAAGGTCCTCTGTTCGAGTTCTAAGTGCGGGATCTCAGATACACACTGCTCAGGAACCCTATACTAGGATAAAATATCCGTCAAACGCTTACACATTTTCAATGATGGTCCAGATGAGATCGACTCATGAATTCAAATGTTAAATTTTAGTCAACTTGAAAATAGGATTTTCCTTATTAATGCTCAACATTTAGTTTTCAGATCATTCTAAATTTCAATTAAAACGCTTGTTAATAGTAAGTTAATGGTCACTATAACATCAAATGGGCTTAATAATTAACTAACATTCTTGATATTAAATTGTTTCAACAAATAAATAAGTAAATCTAAACAAAATCATTTCACTAATTGAAATCATGATTCAATTGAAGTTAGACAACCATGGAAAACCTGGAAGCACTAGACGGCTGTTTCGTTCTAATATGGGACTCCTCAGCAGTGCTCATCCACGATCTCTACAAAACCCCTTCTGATAATAGTCATTTCACTTAAGTAGTTAATTACTTTCATCTCTAAATAATTAGTTATATCAGAAGGTAGTTGATTTAATGAGTCGACTGAAGTTAGACCACCATTGAAAACATGGAAGCACTGGATGGCCGTTTCGTCCTACTGTGGGGCTCTTCAACAGTGCGTACCCACGATCCTGCCTAGCGAGTTTCGAAATGGTTCAAAATGATTGATGAATCTACTGATGTATGTACCGGAAAACAGATTAATTCCCTAAGAATTTTAGTAGAAAATGATAATACAGTTATTCTCCACTAGTCATTAAGGTATAAAAATCGACAACCTATTTGCATATTATCATGCTAGACCACCATCATAGTTGTATTGAAGGAGGACAGATATTTATTTGTAATTAATAAATGACCGTTCAATACTTCCGGGCTTTCAATGGTGGTCTAGCTTTGATTTATTTATGAATTAGCAAATCCCCACTCTAATAATTCAAAACCATAATTAAGTAAATATGTTACACATTTAGTTTACATGAAAGTCTTTAACTAAAATATACTACTAAGAGCAGTATAGGGTTGTTGAGATTATTAATTTTAGGGTTGACATCGCGAACCGATTGACGTTAGACCACCATTAAAAACATGGAAGCACTGGAACACCATTTCATCCAATTGTGGGACTCCTCCGTGGCTGGCGGGCCTCGAACCCAGGACTTATCGGTCTCGCGCGCGAACGCTTAACCTTTAAACCACCAAGCCAGCCGGTATCCAACAGTGTTAATGTCTAACTTCAACAAATCCACGAGATTGTGCGACCATCTTCCATTTTACTGAGGTAGATACCTGTGTCTACCCAACATGGATTCGCTCCACTGATCATTAGGACTCTGAGAATTCTCTCACGAAGCTAGTCACTAGTGAGCATATGGCAATTATCAGTATAGGTATGTGGACGAAACGACCGTCCTGTGCTTCCAGGTTTTCAATGGTGATCTGATATCAATCGGTTCACTATCTCAATCATAAACGACTAAGATGTTTGTGTATCAGTACATCATTCATAGATGACGGTGTCTAATTTCTTGATCTATACCATCTAAATCATCAGAATATCTCTCTAGATATAAGTTTCGTTTGATTTATCTATAGATCTACTACTGAAATTGAAATATATGGTATGCTGCTTATGTTGACAGATATAAGTAGTATGTAACACCAATCAAAAGTGGAATGCTTGTCGGATTCGGACACTCATATTACATTAATTTAATAGTATTCTTTTTGATTAAACATTTCTATCTATCTATCTATCTATCTATCTATCTATCTATCTATCTATCCATCTATCTATCTATCTATCTATCTATCTATCTATCTATCTATCTATCTATCTATCTATCTATCTATCTATCTATCTATCTATCTATCTATCTATCTATCTATCTATCTATCTATCTATCTATCTATCTATCTATCTATCTATCTATCTATCTATCTATCTATCTATCTATCTATCTATCTATCTATCTATCTATCTATCTATCTATCTATCTACCTATGAATGTCCCTATGTAATACTTTGATCTTCAATTCTGTTGAAATCATCAGAACATAATATTAATAATCCAGGATGATATTTCCTATGCACTGACACCAAATAATAAATATGTTACTTCCATTCGAATATGATTTGTGCTGGCAGACCTAAGCTGTTCATAAATAACCGTAAATATTATTAAATAGATAGTTTTTGACAACTCACGGTTAAGAGATCATGATTTTCTCGTTATCGAATGTCGTAAGCACATTATTCTATGTTGAGTAAGAAATGTCAAATGAGAAGGGTTTCTTGTGGATATTATATTAATTTAAATGGTTGAGATCATCAGTCAATTGAAGCTAGATCACCATAGAAAACCTGGAAACACTGAATATTCGGTTCATTCTATTGTGGCACTCCTCAGCAGTGCGCATTCACGACCCCGCTCAGCGAGATTCGAACCCAGGACCTATCAGACTGTTGAGCGAGCTGATTGCTTGGAATTTATTAATTGACTTTAATCGATTTATAGTTAAAAAAATAGTTCTATAAGGAAAAGTGAATGGTGGTTGCATCCTAGAGTTAATGTTTGCTCCGGGACTCGGACCCAGGACCATTCGCTTTTAAACCTCATCATTAACTTGAACTTTTCAGAAAAATGGATGAAATTATAATGAAACTGTGTTCTCATAAAAGGAGTCTAATGCTAGATGAAAGTGTATTAATCCGTTTAGAAAATGTTTGTAGTAAATTCATTTTCATTATGACAATAGTATAGTTCATTACATCTGAGCCAAATTCTTAGTTTAATGTCAATGATGAAAATATTTGATTCCATAAGTGTTGTTCCCATCGAGGACATAGAGGATCCTATTGTTACTCTATTTATTTGTTTGCATAACATTTCATCGATAGTACATAAGATTGTATTTACTTACTTCCTTACTTACTTAGGCTTGTTACTCCTAATGGAGCATAGACTGCCGACTAGCATTCTCCAACCTACTCTGTCCTGGGCCTTCTGTCCAGTTTTTGTTCATTTCTCTCATATATGTCTCCGTTTCTCGGTGTAATGTGTTCTTTGATCTTCCTCTTTTCGTTTGGCCTTGAGGATTACATGTGAGGGCTTGTCTTGTGACGAAGATTATATTTAAACATAGTTTAATAGATTTCATCATTAAACTGATATATAGAAGACAT